CTACTTGCTCTAGTGGACGACCGCGATTACCTAAAACTCTACGCCTAACCTCAGCATTGCTCATTAGGCTACCTTACTAGACCTGTACAATGCGACGTAGACAGCGATATTCGAACACCGACAATCTATTTTGTCCTCTTCCCGTAGTGGTTAAGTCTCTGAACCGTAGAGCAGGACTGGTCGAACTGCAGCAGCATACACTCGACCCTTCACAGACAGCCGGATGTCACGACGACACCACAGATGTCTCAGGTTGGCAAATGCCAACCGAGCCTTCCGTATGCTAGCTGACACTTCAGTCGTGATAAGTCCACCGGGTGAGAGGTAACTGCCCAAGTAAAAAAAAACTTATCCACCTTCTCTTACTTCCCTGTTAGAGTGGGACTGGCTGCTGGACCAAACCAATTTTGTAGTAACATTTTACACTTTGATGGTGCATATCGCATACCGAACATGGCTACACCAAGACTCGCAGGAAGAGGCGTAGTCCTATTGAACACCATGGCGAACTCGGGCCAAAAAGTGCCGTAAGCTCGGACTTGACTTCAGTTATTAGCTTAAAGGGATCGTGATATTTAAGTAAACTTCTAGGGCACACCCTTCACCGGAAAGGCAGCGCGAGCTTAGAGGCCGACTGAGTCGAAACCCGCTTTCAAATCGTGGAAAACCGAGATCGTTGCTCTACAAAGAGAATGTCGATGTTGGAGAACGTGGCAAAGAGTGAATATGGTCGATACAACCTCGATCAGGTCTGAAACCATCCTGGTTCTCACGCGTGTCCCGTTCACACACAGAGTACACAATGTAACTGTGCATACAGACCGTTTCAAGCATTCTGGCCTCATGAGAATTGACAGCAACGCCACTGCTGTAGGTTCGCTGCCATATTCTTCAGTGTCGCAAACCAACCAGTTGCAGAACCTTTCTGACTCCAATCCGGAAGACGGGAGACACCTACTCTAATAGCTCAGTGCATTTCTTCATGATCCATCTCCAAGTCATTTGCTGCCCTCCAGCCCGGAGCGGCTACAGCGAATGAAGCGCAGAGCAGCAGCTGGATATAAACAATACGTGCCCTAGACAGCGAGTGTAAATTCTCTGAACTAGCACGTTCATCCCAACAAACTACTAAAAACACGATAGCTTACCTCCAGGTTACTAACCACTTCTCCAATACATACACAAACACAAAATAATTCCATAATGCATCGGTCGTCACGCAGAATAATCAAGACCGCGCTGCCAAATGCATCGAGCGGGGTAGGTAGTGGTAAGTGGGCTACTGCCCAGATATCCCAACCTTTGTTTAACTCTTCCGTATCTTCTTCCGTACCCAACTCTCTCCCTTTACCACATCTAATCCACAACATTCCCTCAAACAACCTAAGCGTCACTTGCTAAAGTTCGTTGCCAAGTAGCCCGGTAAGTAGTTTACCACAAAATAGATTGCATATTCTGAAGCCTCGTCAATCACCGAACCCGGGGACCTGCAACGTGAGGACTCTGATGCAGGTAGGTCAACAAGCGTGTCTGGCGCGTACAATGGACTCTTTGGGGATTGATGTCTGCTGCATATCCGAGACTCGAATTCAGGGTCAAAGTACTATATGTCACTTAAGTGCACTGGGGTTGTCCTCGAGGTACTTTCTCCGCACGTCAGGTGATGACGAAGCCGGTTCAGTAGGCCACCGTGACGTGGACATCGTACTCAATAATACAGCCGAAAGAGCACTAATCGACTGCATCCCCGTCAACAGTCGCTTCACACGATGAGGTTTCAAAGGTCTACCAGTGTCCGGATAGAAAGCAGCACCAAAAGATGTTTTCATCATTTCAGCGTACGCACCGACCAACTGCAGTTCGGAAGCACAAAAAGACGAGCTTTATGATAAACTCACCAAACTCATTCGGTTGAGCCGAAGCTCTGATATAGTTGCTCTCGCAGATGACTTTAACACGAGCTGGAAAACCGAGACCATCAGAAGCTTGCCTAGGCGGTCACTGAGCTCTGCCCTGCCAGCGAACAGATAACGGCGATCGACTTCTTCAGTTCTGCGCAGGTCATCTGTTCCGATCCAGTACCAACTTCCGACACAGTTCTCAGCGGACAGCAACGTGGCGCTCAAATTCAACCAGCACGCTAACCCAAATAGACCACAGCAATAAGCTACCGTTGGTGTGGCTTTGGGTAAAACTGTAGGTTCTATTGAACCACCTGCGTTCAATTTGATCATGCATTAATTTTTATTCGGTTCACTCTCCAACTTACTGGTCGCAGAAAATCCCATCAACCTCGATGGGAAGATAATCGTTTATCTGACCCAACCGTTCGTGCCCGTTTTGAATCAGAACTAGGTCAAGAGCAAAACGCGCTGTAGCGTAGTAGTATAGATGAACAATGGAATTAGATTAACCGAGCAATGCACTCGGCAGCGAACGGTACTTGTGGATCTGAAGCAGTAGCCCGCCCGAGGCATTGGATATCTGATGAGTCAGTAGCACTGATAGAGAAAAAGCGGCAAAGCTCAACCACCCGGGATCAAGGCAGGGTTAGGTGGCGTCCACAACGTCAATTCACGA